AAGAGAATAGAATCTCGCGTACAAACAGAACAGAAGATCAGCGAGAGGATTGCTTGAGACGTCAAGGAAATGTATTCACGGTCGGATCTACTCCGGCTTCGAATTGCAACTCGGACTGCAATAACTGCCAAGTCATTTCTTTGCATTTTCACAATCTTTCGTTCCTTGTCAGCTTTCTTAAAAGAACGTACTAATTCATGTCCAATGTCACAACGGAGAGTGCGTAAAGAAGAAATTAAATAATAACCGCGCGCGATTAATCATAATTTTAATTTAAAATAAAAATAAATACATTTTATTAAGTAAGGCAGAAACTGGTTCCGCTAGGATTGGTTTTGTTGGAATCTGATATATTAAATTTTTGAATATATATATATTACAATATCTTAGTTATTGCTCTTAGTTCTTGGCTATATTTTATGTATACTTAATTAATGGGTCATTTTTTTTAAATCATTTTGTTTGGATATTTTTGATGTAAATATAGAAACTTGTATATTGTACCGTAATTAAAATTTTCCTGGTTTCAATATGCTTTTCTTCTAAATTGTAATAATAAGCGAATGAGATGATAATGTTTAAGTCAAAATAAAAATGCCTATATGTAGTATTAACGATTAAAACAAGAAGAAACGAATGCTTCTGAATAAGTATTCGTTGCTATATTTTCATTTTTAATAATTTTAATAAATTATTTCTATGCATATGCCGGATAATTTTATATTATTAAGAGTGTAGTATACAAATTTTCATAAAATATATTCTATATTAAATTTTATATCCGTAAAATATTCGCAATTAAATTAAATAATATCAATACAATTAATAAAATTAATTGTAATGATTACTTAAACATATATATCTCTATAAATATATTTAAATAATCTCTTTATTAAGTAATGATAATTTTTCAATAATTAATTTTTTCTATTATATATAATATCGATAGATATAGAGTCTTTATTCGCAGTTATAATTACTTAACAGAGCGTACAAAGTTAATTTAATTTTCAAAGAAAATCTGAAACTCATAACATTCAAGTTAAAAAATGATATAGATAACTGATTAATTAATTACCCAATTCATTCTGCGTGAATTATTCGAATTAAATTAATTATTCTAAAAAGAACAGTCGACGATTTAACGATTATAAGCACGTCTCTTTTCTGTTGCGTTTCTCGACTTTCATAATTAACTTTTAATTAGATATATTGACCGCGTTTCATTAAACAAAATAATTGTCTCCTCGAACAAAGTATATCATACCATATCGCATCAGTTCGTGACATCGCGCAGACAAGAAAGGTTAACACGGAATATAACAGTCGAAGAATTGGTTGGAATCTTGCTTGTTTCGAAGTTTATTGCACCGAATTGACTTCGCTGCAGCGTATATACATATACAGGGTGTCCCATTTTAAATAATGCATTAAGATTTCTCGAAAAGTGTGGTAAATACGGAAAAATGTTTCAAACAAAAGTTGTATGGTTCGAAGGGGGACATAAGAAGGTACCATTGATTTAACCTTGGGTGGCATCGTTAAGGTTAGGTCAAGGTTACATCGATTTTTTAAATGGAACATCATATTTTTGATTCCAGAATCTAATAGCTGATAGCAAGAGCTTTTCAAAACACTATAATAAAGTTCATTTTCATTAAGTACTTTCCGAGTTATAAGGCTTGGAAGTTACAGTACCTCCGGCATTAGCATTACCAAAGTCCGACCGGCGGCTAAAAATCTCTTGAATGTTGTTCAGGATCATGTACTCAGTACTGGATAATATTTTTCAAGATCAAGGCCATTGGTGATTGTATATCTTATTTTCATTTTTGCACTAAAAATTCATTTTTATGTAAAAATGAAAATAAGATATACAATCACCAATGGCCTTGATCTTGAAAAATATTATCCAGTACTGAGTACATGATCCTGAACAACATTCAAGAGATTTTTAGCCGCCGGTCGGACTTTGGTAATGCTAATGCCGGAGGTACTGTAACTTCCAAGCCTTATAACTCAAAAAGTACTTGATGAAAATGAACTTAATTATAGTGTTTTGAAAAGCTCTTGCTATCAGCTATTAGATTCTGGAATCAAATATATGGTGCTCTTATAGTATATTTCAAAGATATTTAGATCTTCGCGTTAATGAATGACTCTCTCCTGTCAAGGGAAATGAAAGTCGGACGCCCCTGAAGTAGGGACGGGGTGAAGTGAAATTCGCTTCGCGTGGAAGTCGTGCGCCCCTAAACAGGGGGAGAGATGGAGTGGAAGTCGCTTCGCTTGGAAGTCGCACACCCTTAAGCAGGGGGGAGGTGGGATGAAAGTCGCTTCGCGTGGGAAGTCGTGCGATATACAGAAAATAATGAAATTTAGGAAATGTGTTTTACATATGTAAAATATATCTCAAAAATTATAAGAGACCGCCGATTAATTTATAAGGAAAAGTTGATCAGTAATCTCACCTCTATAACATATATCCAGATCAAGGTCATCGAAGAGGTGTCCTCTAATGTAAAGAAATACCAAATTTTCAAAGACTGTCCCATTATTTTACGTCTGGTTTTGAACATCTGTGTAAAATTGCACAATTCTCTTATTGATTTTAAAGTTACTGGATTTTTTACTGCATTGATTCTTATATAAAATCGCATTTTGTAGTAACTTTTTTTTGCAAAATTAATGAAGAAATAAAATCAGAAATTAAATCAAATTTTTATATAAACTAATAAATTTAAGTATACCGAACTTTGTAAGTAGTGAACATATTTTATACTCGCAAAAATTCATTGCTGAGAATTTTTTTTAACAATGTCATAAAGTAGTTTTAAAATTTTATCAATAAAAGTGATATGTGGATGTCAAATATTGTATCTCAATAGAATTTATGCCAGTTTAATATAAGTAAAAATACTGAAAGTTTTTTACATTATAAATATTAATACTTAGAGATTTTAGAATAAAATTGTAAAAACCTGCATATGACAATTGATTTTGTATTTCTTATAGATATATTACACACATAATAAGAGAGATAATATATATGCGTATAATATAAATTACGTAATATTATATCTTTAATACACAAAACACACATATCTAATTATCTCTTATTATACATAAGTGATACACAAGTAGATACCTATATGTACGTTAATATAACGTCAGTGATAAAAAATGTCAATGATAAAAAGATTTTATCAACACTTCTGATATAAGTAACAAATCTTAATACAGTACCTATCAATCATGTTAGTAATCGCTCCGTTCAATTGAGCTTAAATACGCAATATTTTGGTACCGTAATATTAATGATTAATGAGACAATTTTTCTTGAACCCCAGATTCATCGTTTTTCCCTGTATTTTCTTCGGTCTCCCCTCGTTATCGGCTACCAATTACATTCTATCTATACGTAATAATAGCTTTTATTTTGAACAAATATCGGTTCTTGCACGCCACGCATGCTCGTCTTGCGTTTGCACGTAAGACCGCAATAATCCTCCAACGAGGATTATAGACGTAGAATAATATTTCATGTGAATGACATGAGATATTGCAAAAGCGTCATTAACACATTTATAAATATAATTCATAGCACTTTAATTACATATACTTAGCTTTGTTGAATGATTAATGCATTGTTCAATTCAGCTTGAGTATATTAGATTATTGAAGATATTTTAAAGAGATTTTAATATGAAAGAATAATGTAGAGAGAGAATTTTTTTAAACTTTTATTCAAACTCGTGAATAAATTGCTTCAAATGTATAAAAAAATTTATCTTACAATTTATTTTATAATTATGATAAAAAATATTTTATATATTACATTATACAATAATATAATAATAGTTGAATATATTGAGTAAAGATACATGGAGATTAATTATGCAAGCAATTAGTAATATAAAAAGTAACAAATAACAAATCACTACATGACTTATTCTACATCATCCGAAATCTCCTCCTATTCTTTTGCTACACAATACTAACTTGATTTTATTGGCAAAGCATGTTTAATTATGATCATATTTGTATTAATTATTAAAATGACGATCGCGCGATGTTTGATCTTAAGATATTCTTGCGATATTGATCATAAGCAAGCAATTCAGTGAAATACAAAATACTGTTAAAAACAATCGATATATCATAAACTTTTGGTATTTTAATTATTTGATTCAGCAATAATGGTAATTCTTATTCCCTATTGTTTCAAACTAACACTAGTCGTATGAATTAGCAAAGCTTCAACAAATACTTATGCTATCTCGATAGTCTCTAAACTACGAGTATGTTATATTATATAGATATTTTGATGAAGAGAATATCGGGTAATTTAGACTTTTGGATGTGACAATTAACCCTAGTCTTGATGCAAATCGTAATAATTAATAAGTACAAGATGATAATAGTAGATAAAAAGTTATCGTATTCTCAGAGATAATAACATAATACACTGATACACGGAGCGATTTGCGGCGCTATCTGTCGGTTTGAACTTCGCAGTGCGAAGGATAGCACGATAGTCTTGTGTGAACAATAATGTGCTGTGTACTGTATAAACAAACACCACACATCGTTGCACTGTACAAACAAACACCAAAGCCGCGCACCAGCCGTCATTTAACATTTCCTATTATAAATTCGATATATTCTGTTTTCTGTTTTTCAAGTTAATTTTGGCGAATGTGTGTGTGTGTGTGCGGTGCGTTTTATTGTATTATATTACAATAGAAGAATAGCATAAAGAAAGTCCAATTTTGAAGATCCATTCACGCTTTAAATAATAAATGATATATATTCGAGTTTTAAAATAACTGTTACTTCGTATCATAAACAAATAAATGTATGAGATAAAATAAAAAACAAATTGTAGAAATATTCGAAATTTTGATTAATGTTTTGTCGATAATTGTTTGTCTCGCGACGTTCATAAATAAAAAATTCAAAATTATAACTTCATTAATCATAATATCACGCAATACGACGTGATTAACAAAGTCGAGTTCATGAAATGAACTAATGAAAATCATGTACTGCCCGAAAGTAATCAAAATTCGGTACGCGATGATTCTCTATACGCGGAATATGTACATACATTTCAAATGCATAAATCTCGCAAAACATACGTATTATTAATGATCAATATATTACGGATTTCCGTTCTACTTGAAGCACAGCCAGGCATTCAGGTATGTATTATTTTATACTTTCGTAAATGATGGATAAATTACGTTTAAATTGATGAAAAATCTAAAATATAATGTAATCAAATCCAAGTATTGCTGTAATTATCACTTGTAAATTGCAATGAAACGTACCTAATTCTGTTAAATTGCGATTGCTTCGATAAATAGACGTCGCTTGATACAAGTCGAAATTAATTAATTGGAAAAGTTAATTAGCGTTAATCAGTCGTAGGGAATAGGAATTACGTCTGGCATCTCGTAATATCTGTTGCAATCGCATTCCGAAACGTAGTACAGTACAAAGCGGCCACTTCGTATCGACTGAAGTCTCGAATGACAGAACAGCAACCCTCTGTATACTACATATCAAAATGACAAGTACTAAGTCATTCGATTTATTGTCACTACAAAATGTTTCGCGCGTGTAAACGTATAACAAATATGTTATTTCTTCAAACTTTACTTTCAATAAATGGATATTGTCGCACACATATTTTTTGGATTTCTTTTTGTAACACATTATAGCATTGTATAAGATAACTAATTTTGTTCGAATAAGAGTGTTGGGGCGTCTTTCTGACAAATTTAGAAATATTGTTACTTTATAATTTTAATTTAATAAATATATAAAGTAACTTGATTATAATATACGATAATTAACAAATCATTATTGTACACAATTATTTAATTTATTTTATAATTAAAACTTATCCCATGTAGAAATGTTAAAACGACTCAATCATGGACCAGTACCGTTTGCCATCGCTCCAGTACTCTGGCAGCCAATGTTGGGCCAGTACAAATGTAACACATAGGAGTGTAACGCTACGCCGTGCTTCATTGTCAGTGTTGGCCAGTTTCGCAGCCAATACTGGCCCATGTATGACCCGGCTGTTGGCCAGAGTTC